TGGTACAAGAATATGATCCGAGTCTGGTGCGACGTAGCAAGTGGTTCGAGAAAGTGAAGCCAACATCTGTTGGAGATATAGTCATACTAGTAGACGAAACGCTATCCCGTCCCTACAAGAATCGGGGGATGGAAACGTAACACATTCTCATTTATCTTACTAACACATTTGCAAATTTTGCGTTGGTTAAAAAGAGACAAGAGAGAAAGAAGAAAAAAAATCACATGTATACATTTGTTTTCATCATTTTTTCGCATTGGCCGTAAAAACGTGATATGAGTGTTTTATGGACATTTCCATCACCATTGAGTTACACATGATTAATTAAATGGCTATCACTGTTCTTGTAGGGGTAATAGCTGGCCCAAGGGAGTCACCACCGAAACAATCACTGCCGAAGATGGTCAAGTAAGCCGTGTCATGGTCAAAACCAGTACCAGTCTGTTTGAGAGGCCCGCTACCAAAATAGCTGTATTGGACGTCGGAATTGCTCAGGGCGGCAAGCTCATGAATCCTTAATTCGCTTGCAAGGTGTGGACTGTTACCGGCGCCACTGTATTATGTATCTATATTAGTTATTATCTATTCTATTTTTTGCTTTCTCAATTTTAACTGAATACAATACATACAGTTGGCTACTTGTCTTAGAAACGCACAGTTGAGTAGTTACGCTCAGCCCAACAGTTGGCAACTTTCCGCCTTTTTTTCCAGCGGAAAATTTTTACGGTACCTGAACTCAACGTGTTATGCTTAGCCTAAACAGCTGATCGAAAAGACTTACGCCGCTTATATTAAATTCAATGCCGCTTTGTTAGGTAGCAGTTGCAAACAAATTTATTATATTTATTATTACTGACGTGATAAAGTAACAACAATATTTTATAATAATACTACGTTTCTGAATATATGTTTTTAAGATGTTTGCTATATAATTTTACACTTTTTAATTCATTGTAACATTGAAAATTTTTTTCAACACGGTGGCCGCTCAGCGTTGAATTCTAAATAGTATCATTTGGCAGCATATTCATCAAGCCGTTTCTAAGACGTAATTGTTGGGTTCAACAGTTGCCAGCAGTTTCGTAGCAGATGAGCTAAACAGCTACGTCTTATGAACGCGACATTACAAACTAGAAATAAGCGCATTTTCATTTTTGCCAAGCAGCGAGAAAACATATTGTTTTACTGTGTTAAACTATTTATTGATTGAATTGAGCGCCAAGTAATTTCGCATCATTTGGAAATAATAGTGAATTCGATTGGTCTTAAAAATTATTTCGTGTTTGAAGCTGAAAGCCACAAAACCAGTTACAAATACAAGGTCGCGTTCTTACGTGATCTTGTATTTTTTGTTCATGGTAGTTTTGTGGTATTCTCATTGTGAATGGGCATTTCCCACTGAACATATCCAAAAATGACTGATGTCAGCTGCTCATTTATCAAAAAAATCTTTGAAATTTTCGCGCGATTGAAGCCAGAAGTTTATACCGCAAGTTTGCTGCAATATATAAGCAATTTTTGCATTTTTATATATATTTATGTGTTCTTCAGAAACATATGATCTGACACTAAAATATAAAGAAAACATACAATACAGAAACATAATATCATCAGATCATATTATGATCTGACACTAAAATACAAAGTAAATAGTTGTGTTTCATGAGCTGCTCGAGGTTACGCCAGGTTAAAGTATCTCACAAAATTGTGTTTCATGAGAATTTTTCGGGCTCTAACTTACTCTACTTTTTGTTTCATGAGCCTGCGCTAAGTGGAACTAGAGCAACTTAGAGCACGATTTTCTGCACCAGCTTTTTTGATAGAGTAATGCTAGGCGCACATTGCATCCGATAGGCCGACCGATTACGGCCGAACAATTTGACCGTCCGAACTGATGCGCACACTTAACTAGATTATTTGCCGACCGTATTTGTACACACAAATCTAGTTTTCATTACAATTTTGTATGCAGTGAGATATTTTGATACATTTTAATTGACATACTCCAAACATGTGATTTTATATGTAATTTTTTCGTTTTTGCACTCAATAAGTTAATTTTTCGCAGTCCATTTTGATACTTTTCACCTGACATCGGACGAGAAAAACAAACATGTTTGAATTTATCGTCAGTGACGGACGTCAATGGCTGATGTCGGTTCGGTTACCGGTTTATGTGTGAGAGCGCTCATATAATCACAAGTGTTTATTCATATCGCCCTCATATAGCCGATATCGGCCGAGCACAATTCGGCCGATGCCGGCTGCAGTGTGCGCGTAGCGTTACTTAGTGCAAGCAACTGTTTTGAGAATTTCTGCCTTCCAAAACGTATCAGTACAATGTTTGGATTCTATTATACTGCGGTATTCAAACTGTTTGTTTATGCAGAGCTGCGACACATTGCAACCATATACATTGCATATTTTAAATATTCAATTTAGTAATGAAAATGCTTTCTGAATTTTCCATTTTTAAAACACCAAAGGTTACCAATAACAAACGAAGCATCAACGTTGTTTCTGATGCGCGGATTGCTCTAGCGATGCATTTCGATAACTTTTCGGATGCGTTTTGGAACAGTACACATTGTCAATATTTTGTAGTTGGGCGTTATGGAACATTAAACTTTGTACGTATACAAAGCAATTGACGTTTTGGAAGTCAGCCTATTGTTTCATGAGATTCCTGATCTGAGTTGCTCTAAATTGCTCTATTGTTTTTTTGAGAGCTGCTCGATTCTGTTCTAACTTGACCTGCTCTGCACTTTTTTCTGTCACTGTGGTAGTATTTTAAATACCACAATAAATTTACCAGAATGCAAATACTTGATGTCTCTCCTCGGTATAAAAGTAAATATCAGCAAGTCGCTAAAAAGGCCATCTTAAGGCTTTCTGCCCATTGGTCGACCAATCATAGTTGCTTCATCGTCACAATCATGATGCAACGATTACATGACGACTATACTTTCGCAAACTCGGTCGTGATATTTCAATTCATTTGGCGTCTAAAAATTCACTTGAGCAGGTATTTTCTGTTTTTGTGGTTGATATTTTCGCGAAATATTTACAGAAACCTGAAATTTTTAAAATATAGACTATGCTGCAACAATTCTAGACATCATTTTTCAATAATATCTCTTCTTTTCTTTTCCTGATATGTGTTTTGTGTATGCACACAGACAGAAATTTTTTGACAATTTCGTCATATTTTATAGTTAAAACGCTAACATTTATTACATTTAATGCAATTTTCCACTTTTTAATAATTTCAACAGATTTTATGCAAAAAATACTAATTTTTATGCAATTGTAATGCAAATATTAGCTTTTTCACTAATTTTTCCCAATAAAATGTAAACAAACAATGCGTGCACAACAATTAGCAAACGACAGTGCCGTACTTATCCGTTTCTGCATCTTCTACGATTTGCCCATAACGACAAGTGTGCAGATCTCCTTTGAAATGCATGTGCCCTGCTAAAAATTTCAGGGCGAGACGAGAACGCAAATATGATTGGACGACAAGTGTGCAGCCTTACTTTGCATTCTTCTGTCACAACGTACTCGGTCAAATTCAGGTCGAAATTGGATGCTATCCAAGACCGATAGAATACAAGATTGCGTTGATTGATGTGAAATTCGGGAGAGTAACGTGAATATGACTCATCGCAGGTTTTCCGGTGAAGAGAGCTGAGAGAGATCTATCAGTAGGTTCATTCCTTATCTTTTTGGACTAAAATATGAAAAGTGTCAAAATGCCACAGCGTAAGCAAAATGCGCTCACTAAAAGAGAATAACAGGAAAAGTAAAGGAACGCAAAAAAAAACAAATTTTTAGTCCAAAGAATGGCAACTACAAAACTAACGTCAAATAAGAATGGAAATGGATGTACAAAACACATTCACACAAGCACAAACACTTAAGGCCGGTGCACACAGAACTTTCGCGTTGGCTTTGGCGTTGGTGTTGGTTTGACAGAACGCACGTTTAAAGTATGCTTGCTACAATGAACGCTTGGCAGCTAATGCTTGGGCCACTAAATTAACATACTAACGACAGATAAATTAATATTTCATATCAATAATTGCGTTAAAAATGATATTTCTTGCCCGCACTTGAATAAAAAGGAATAATATTTTCCATAATTTTATTTAGTTGCAACAGCTGATGAGCGACGCACGCGAAAAGTTGAGAGTTGGCCATCTTTTCGCTTTGTGTTGGCGTGAGCGAGTGTGAACATCAGGAGCGTGCCTTCCCTTTTCATCCAATCACAAAACCCATTTGGGCAAAAGAGAAAGCACGCTCCTGATGTTCCCACTCGTTACAATTATAATGTGTTGTCTCTAATTATAGATTTACGTTCTTTGCTCTCACTGAGTGTAGCTCTCTAATTTTTGCTGTCATTTTCGAAGTAAGGAACGCTTTTTGGACTAAATCTGACTACTTCGGACTTTTTCTGACTATTTCTAGTATGTACATGTTTTGCATATGTATATGCAAGAATGATGAAGATGAGAATAGTACACAGGCAATACACAAAATTTCCTATGACGTCATATTTATGTCAAAATTTTCAAGAGAGAGTTAGCGGTAAACAATCAGCGCCACCTTCTGTATTCGCTTCACCATGGATGCTACCCCAGCAATGCGCACACAGCTTTCAGATATTATATTGAACTACTATTTTCTACAATAATTAATACCAGTGAAACAATTTCATTCTTCACATTAACTTTTAAAGCATGTGTACTATTTCTAGTAAGTTTTTATTTATATTTAAATTTCCCTGAAATTGATTTTTAGTAATTTGATGTGGGGTTCCATAAAATGAAAGGCGTTTAGAAAGGGTTCCATCATAAAAGTTTAAGAACTCCTGCTCTAGTGCATTCATAGAACAGACGAATTGTGCCAAAAATTGGGCATGCAAAATACTCTTATGTTTTGGGCGAATGGCAAGCGACCAAGTATGCATAAAGTGTATATTCTACTTAAGGTTATCGATAGTTTTTTTTTCTTTATCGGATACAATAATTTTTTTGTAATATTTGCATGGCATGGCACTTTTTGTTTCTATTCATTTTTCTAACTTTGAAGGGATCTTAATACATACTAAGAATAAACTCAGCACGTCGCTTTATTAGTTACATAAGTAGAAAAATTAGTTAGAACACGCCGTGGTCCAGAATACCATGTACCAAGACGAGGATATAAATGAGATCCAAAGGCAAATGGATTCATGGAATCCTATGCAGGAAGACTACACCAATAGTCAATTTAATAAGTATAGTACTGGGCCTGGTGCATATTTAGATCCTGCTTTGCAGCCTGCCCAACAAGCCAAAGAAACAAGGCAACAGCCCAAGAAGGATAATCAAAGTTCTAAGGAAAAATATGTGCCTTACTTGGTATTGAAGCATTTGCCGCAAGGAACTACCAAGAAGGCAATTACTAATATTTGTTCCCGATATGGTGTTGTAACCGATGTGCGTGATAGCACGAAAAATGACTATTTCTTCGTCGATTTCCCAACTATAGCGTAAGTAATAGGGAATTTACATGAAGCGATTTTTCAGGCAACTTTTAGTTGAAAGCAACAATCGCCTGGTGTAAACGGCCTTGGGTCATGTGTCCTGTTTATATCGTGTATTGAAAACGAAATATGCTTTGACTTATAGCGAAATGGAGTCCGTATACCGCGCTTTGGTAAAAAACAACTACGGTTTTCATGTTCTTGTCGGCAAGCAAAAAAGTAAACAACAAACCGAGCCAATAGTTTCCGATGTAGAAAATAACCTGCCACTTATAAAAGTTGATAAGGATGGAATTGATTTAGAAAATAGGTAAGGCAGTGTTAGTTACTACCAATTCACATTCGTTTGTGTTAAACTCGTAGATATAATGCTCGAATCAAAACAGATTTATACTATATTGACTAGTAATTCATCATTAAAATTTAGAACCTATCGAACATCGGAGAAACATTTGCCAAGACCGCACTTCGAGCGAAAGCCGATGGTTAGTCTTAAAAGTTATGAAGCGAAAAATTCGCTTTTACAACGAAATGATCCCCACAGACATTACTTGATTAACGAAGATGCACATGAACTTGAGCGCTCAGGTTTAAAGGAGGGCATGCCACAAAGTATGGAAAATTCAAAGTACAAATATCGGACAGGCAGAGCATACATTGAGTTCGTGTTTTAATATACATAAATATAATCCCACTGAGTAACATTTTTTATTGTGAGTAAACGTTTTTTAGGATGCCAGAGAAATCTAAAAACTTTGTCGAAGAAAAGTCCCGCAAATCCTTGGGGAGCTATGACACAGCACGGCGTGTATATGAAAACAACCATGAAGGCAGAAAAATTGGGAGACCAGTTAATGTGGGACAGTGCACCTATTGCCAACGTATATGTGATATAGTTTGCGCACGCTGTCAGACGTACTTCTGTGGTTTGGAATGCCAACGTACGGCATGGCCGAAACATCGCCAAATTTGTGGAAAAGAAAAGTAAATATTTCAATTCTGTCTATTTTCAAAATTTAATTTAGTCAATGTAGGATAAACAATTTAAAAAGTACCAACTTCCCAAAGTCGAATTCTAATGCTGAATCTGAAAGTAATCGGGTGCAGAGTTCGGCAAATACTTCTGCGTCGTCAGAAGCAAACTTGTTGCCCAAAAATGATCAAAAACAATCTGAGTCGCGATCAGCAGAAATTCCACGTAGTGGAAGTTTAATTACTCTCACATCCATTAGCAAAACGAATATCGTATTTATACGTTCAAAAGCTGATGAAGAAAATTATAACTTCTTCAAACTTATTAATGAAGTGCAAAGCGATGCTAAGAATATGAAGAAATTGTCAAAATTGCCAAGCTGTGGGCAGATTGTTATTGTTGATTTCGAAGGCCAATTCAATCGTGCGATGGTACTAAACAGTGACGATGAGCAGCGCGTCAAATTGATTTATATTGATTATGGAAATTTGGATGCACGAAAGTTTGAAGAATTGTATGAGGCGCCTCGGCAATTTGTCGATATACAACGCTTTGCTGTGCCTGTAATTCTGAAAGATGTGCCCGAAATGTATATGACTGAAGAGATTCGTAAATTTATGTATTCCTACTTAAATTGCATTGATTTGGTTATAAAATATGAAACCGAAACCGATTGTTTAGCAGACAAGGGAGTTTATAAGGTGGAATTGATTGATGGTACAACGAATCAGAATTTCAACAAAATGGTTGCTAAAATATGCAAACCCACAGAGCCGCTTAATCCAGATGAAGCATATTTTGCTAATGTAAAAACACTAAAATTTGTATTTTTTAATTTATAATTGCGAAATTTATTCACTGTATTTCATATTCAGTATTTGCCACGGAAGCAATTACCAGAAGGCGAAAATATTGAACTGGTCGTTATGGATAACTCCTTGCTTCAAACGGGCTGCATATCTTGTACCACAAAGGAGTGGGCTATAGAAATCGAGAAATTCCAAGCTGATCTTCAGACCTATGCTGAGTCGTTAAAAGAGCAGTGTTACACTCCACGGTATGTAAAGTAGGTTCGACAGCGTTACTAGTATTTTAGGCTTTGATATTATTGCGTACTGTTGTTGATTTAAAAGGGGAAAGGTTTGCTATTTACATATATTTATTTCAATATTTCATCTTTGTAAGTTATAAGGAATTTACATGAGGCGATTTTTCAAGCAATTTTAGTTGAAAGCAACAATCGCCTGGTGTAAACGGCCTTTCAACTAATCGCTTTCAATGAAGTTGGTAGACGTCCTACTTTCGTTCAACTTTTGATTCAACTAATCGCCTGTGAAAGTTGAGTCAGGTAAATTGTCTTAGTTTTTCTACTTATTAAATTAACAATTTTTAGTGTTAGCGAACTTTGCATTGCCAAATATAAAGTAGATGACAAATGGTATCGCGGCCGTTGTCTGGAAATTGTTGGCGATGGATACCCGAGTATTGTATTCATCGACTATGGCAACATAGAAAAGATCAATGTAAAGGACATCAGGCGTTATCCAGCACAGTTTACTTTTCCCATATACACATGTGATTGCGGGATTGAAGGTATTTACCCTATAATAAGTACTATTTTATTTGTTTATCTTTATATATATTTTTTTTTTATATTCTATTAGGTTTGCCGGAACCTGAATGCGGTGCTGATTTAGTTCAGAAGTTAGAAGAAGTCATACCTAATGGCAGTACAATACTTTGCAACAATGTTGAAATTTATAAAGAAGACAATTTCCATGTCGTAACATTAACCAAACTAATTCAAAAACTGAAATTAGAAGGTTTACTTAAAGAAGGATAAATACTAAATATACACAAATACAAATTAATTCTTCCTTATCCTGAGTTTCACCCGAAAATTTTTCATCTGCCCATAGTAAATACATGGAAACCAAAGTATAAAGTGAGCCGGTTCGGGAAAAATGAAACTCATGATAAAGGCTCATTGGAGTTATCTGTACCCAAGGGGAAAAGCCACTATAGTTATGTTGTGAAGCATGAGTTATAGTATATAATATATCATACTATCATACTCTCCAAACAAAGGTGTTTATTTGCTGGCAACCCATACATCCTTAAAAGATATTCAGCATTACCAAGAGTTTCGCCCGAAAAAAATACACCCGAAAATTTGTGATCGGCCCATAGTAAATACATACATGGAAACGAAAAGTGAAAAGTGAACCTGTTCGGGGAAAATGAAACTCATGATAAGGCTGTTTTTTAAAGTAATTAATTGAACTTTTCAGCCATTTTATACAAATTTTAAATATAAAAAATTGCTTTCATTTTGATTGTTGGTGTTTTCGATGGTAGGATAAATTCTAAATATAACTAGTAAAGAAGAACTTTATATACCCGGCGCACGTATTAAATATCGTTTTTTTCGCCTTTCAGTAAACTGCATGCTAAGCAAGAGTATTTTTCCTTATGTATGTAGTCATAAGTGGGTGGTGCCACATCAATTTTACAAAAATCAATAATATTGTGTCTTGCTAAAAGATTGTTGTAAACTGGCGTGTTTAGTTATTGAAATATCGGAATTTTCGTATTTCTGAAATTTACCGTTATGTGGTAGGTGACGGTAATTTTTGTGCGATTTCAAAAATTTTCAACATATTGCTTTTTTAAGCCAAGGTTGATAAATGTACCGAGTTTGGTAGATTTTGATAAATCGGTTACCGAGATACACATATCGTCGCCTGGGTAAAAGATTGTCGTAAGGGCCATTTTGACAATTTTTAGTTCTAGATGCCGTTAAATATTTTGAAATAAGTTCTTTCGATTGGTGTTATCAGTTTTTAGATATCTCCTTTAGTTTCCGAGATATTGACTACAATTTTTTCGATAATGTAGAAAAATTTAGTTAGTGATGCAGTCATATTAAACTAACCAATATCTTAGAAATAGTGTTCTCCATTTTTGTATATCTCCTTTAGTTTTCGAGATATTGAGTAAAAAGTGTCGTTAATTTAGTATAAATTTTGATCACATTTTGTCGTATTTCATACAAAGTGGCTGCCAAATTGTGGGCAAATGGCGCTTACGACAAAATTTTACTAAAAAAAATCCTTCATAAACTCAAAACTAATTAACAATAAACATTAAAAATTAAATAATTTAAGAGTTTTGTGAACTAGTAACATTTTCAGAGACTTTGGAGAAAATCTATCCTCGCGTTTTTGAGAAATTGTATTCCAAACTTCAATCTCGATTTCCCACAACCTACCGAAATTAACATACGACAATATTTTACCCATCCGACGATATTTAGGCGTAAGTGGGCGGTGCCACGCCCATTTTCCCAAAAATTTTCTTAAGTAGCATTTTCTGCTGAGAGATTGTATAACTGATTTTTAGTAAATTACCTTAAATAGTTACTAATTTATCGCAGTTTTCGTATTTCTGTAAATTACCGTTATATGGGAGGTAGGCGTGGTTCTTGTCTGATTTCAAAAATTTTCAAAGGGTTTCTTAGTGAGGCTCTAAGCAATGTTCGTACCGAGTTTGGTGGGGATTGGTGAAGGGACTACAGAGATACAGCATTTCATCGTAAGTGGGCGGTGCCACGCGCGTTTAAAAAAAAATTGTATTACTTATTTTATGTCAAAATTCCACTTCACGTACCAACTTTCAACAATTTGGATCCAGTAATTACGGAAATATCCGTAGTTTTTGCATATTTCGAAAATACTGTTATATGACAATACCAACCTACCATTTTTTTATCGAGTTATGGTGTACACGGACAGACTGGCAGACGGCTTAATCGATATCTCTTTTCATTCTGATCATTTATGTATACATTTGTCTATATCGATATCTATCTCGATTCGGTTTGGCTGTTACAAACAACCGTTATGCGAACAAAGTTATAATACTCTTGTGCACAAGTGCGCTCGGGTATAAAAATTGTCTCATTTTGGTTGTTGGTATTTTCGACAGGGTAGGAGTATGATGTAGCAGGAGCGCAAATTCGGAGTTGTATTGTGGTGGGAGAGAGACTCGGTCGCCGAGTACTGTCGTTAACTCCGGTGGACGAGCGTATAGCCACAATCCGCATCAAAGCGATATTCTTCAACATCTCGCTCATCTGCGCCCATGCCCCGACGGAAGAGAAGGATGAGGCATCCAAGGATCTCTTCTATGAGCGCTTGGAGCGCACGTACGAGCGCTGCCCCCGTCATGATATAAAAATCGTGCTTGGCGACTTCAATGCCAGGGTGGGCAAGGAAGGGATCTTTGGAACCACCGTCGGAAAATTCAGTCTCCACGACGAAATGTCAGACAACGGATTGAGGCTGATCGACTTCGCCGGGGCCCGAAACATGGTAGTATGCAGTACTACGTTCAAGCATCAAAAGATCTATTAATCTACGTGACTGTCTCCGGATCGAAAAACGAGAAACCAAATCGATCATGTTGTGATAGACGGTAGGCACGCTTCCAGTGTTTTAGACGTACGCACACTCCGAGGCCCAAACATCGACTCGGACCACTATCTTGTTGCAGCCAAGATACGCACCCGCCTCTGTGGAGCAAAAAATGTGCGCCCAAATATGCAAGGAAAGCTTAACGTCGAAAAGCTGCAATCACAGCAGAGAGCCAATGCATTCGCTACTCGACTCTCTCACCTGCTCTCAGAGAACACTCTTCAACGAACCGACATATGCGAGCAGTGGAACCACATCTCCCGTTAATTAAGTACCGCCGCCGAAGAAGTAGTCGGATTTCAGCGAGCCCGAAAGAACAACTGGTATGATGAGGAATGTCAAGAAGCTGCGGATAAAAAAGATGCCGCTACAGAGCCACGCTGCGATCGGGCGCAACGCGCGCTATGTGGGACCGCTATAGGGATCTGAAGAGGGAAGCGAGACGTATTTGCCGCAATAAGAAGAGAGAGGCCGAAATACGTGAGTGCGAAGAGCTTGAAATGCTGGCCGACAGGAAGAATGCCCGAAAATTTTACCAGAGAGTTAGTCGACTTACGGAAGGTTTCAAGACCAGGGCATACTCCTGAAAGAACAACAATGGCGACGTAGTAACCGATGTTCAGAGCGTACTTAAATTATGGAGGGAACACTTATCCGCCCTACTGAATGGTAGCAGCACGGAAAGTTGTGGAGAAAAAGAACCCGAGCCCGCAGTCGATGATGACGGATTCGACGTTCCAACGCCTGACTATGACGAGGTACGAATCATAGCGTACGGCAGGGCGCTCGAGTGACGAAAGCAGCCACAGTAGCATGCTGAAATGACTCACTTATATATACACGAGATTTGGAAGTTTTTATCCAGACGTCCAATCGACATGTTTGAGGTATCGTTGGAAACGTCTTGTATTCAAGCTTCATAAACGAAACAAAAAACATTTTTTTGCCTTTGTCGGGGGTATGCGGGTACACCCAACATATTTAGTGTTATTCTATAGGCCAATACCTTTCAAACGATACCTTATATATTGAGTTCCGGCTACTAGTTGGAAAGATGTGTTTCGGTTCGTGTCTCCACTACGAGATACTTTGCGATGTGTGTAGCGTCCGTACCTTCATTTAATTTTTTTTTCAAACTTTCAGAAGTTAAAGTACCAAATAAACTAGGAAGGTTTTGTTCCAGGATGTTTCGATTCGTAGGCCTTTGGGGCGTGGCTGGCACCTGAAATTCAACGAAAGGCGATTTTTTAAACTACCACTGAGGTCGTACTACTCATTCCATACCATTGAAGTGGATATCAGTAGAAGGGTCTTAAAACAAGCTATCTAACGCTGTCTTTTGTGTTTATAAAATATAAATATGTCATAACCTTATCGCCTGAAAACTAAAACTGGCCAGTCGATTTTATTCTAAGCTTCCACAAGTCTAGCCCAAAACCTTAGCTTTCATCTGGGGGGAGATTCTGTAACCAGTTAGCGACAATTTTCGGATCGGTATCGCTCTTGTTGACGTATGATATGAATATTTTTACGTCAACAAGGGCGATAGCGATCCGAAATTTGTCGCTAACTGGTTACAGAATCTCTCCGCCTGGTATATAGCTTATATCTGAGAAAACTCTCGTTGTGGAGATATTACGATTCAAATAGAAAAAATGTCGCTCCAAAAAGGGTCAAATGGTAAAAAATTAACATATTCGTCTATTTTTGTTGCTTTAAGATATAAAATTCCCATTCCCCGATTGCCTCTTAAACCGAAACTCCCTGCAAGTCGGGGAATTCCCCGCGAGTTGACAAGTTGAAGGATGCAGCTTGCTAATCACTTCGTACATGTCTTGGAAACCACAATTTGTGTGTATCCAGTCACATGCCGAAATTGTAACATTTTCCCCATTTTAATTGTAAATGTGTACACAGTTTTTGACTATGCTACATGGGTTTATCACCCGCACTTAACTTACCGGGGAAGACGCATACAATAGTTGCGTTCGCGCAGCTGTTAATTGTTCATGTTTAACCAAAACTTTCAGGTTTTTGCGTTCGCGTACGAGGGGAAACTGCTGGTTTCTGCTGGAAAAAATTTTGCCAACAGGAAAACAGCTGATCAAAAACAGCTGGTTTGAATTTACGCAAATTACAAATTTGAATTTGATGGTTTGCAATTTAAAAATGACAAAATGCGACTAATTAAACTTGTAAGAAGTAAGTCCCCTTTCAGACACGTCAAGTCTTGCTTTCAAGTCTGCTCGTTCGTTGGTGAAGGAGGTGGGAAGAAAGGGGAAGAGTACAGATACCTCCGTACCGTCAATTCGTTTCAAGTTTTCTTGTTCTATTTTGATCTTTTCGTTGCTTCCCGTTTAAAGAACCAAGTAGTTTAATTCAATAAAACTTGATGCGTGTGGAAACAAAGAGAAA